GGTAGACCTTTGCCCCTACCCCTTCTCCCCCCCCCCCCCCCCCAAAAAAAGATGACTGGAAGTAACTGTTAATGATGCTACGCTTTTTTATGCTTTTTACCTCCGCCCCATCCGTCACACATCGTTACAAAAAGCCAGATCCCCCTCACACGTCACACCTCGTCCAACCCTCCCCCCCCCCCCCCCGCTCAAATTTGCAGTTTAATTTTTTTTTTTAAACATCAACTTTATTTCTAATATATCGACTGAGCTCGGTTAACTAATGCTATCTTCATCAATTTCTATCACAATTTATTAAAACTTGAAACATATTTCTAAAATGCAAAACAGTGGCTAAAATTAAGATTCTAACATTACATTTCTAGTTATTATTTGTGTAGGAATAAAAGGTAGGCTAAAATATTTAATATACACTTAAATCTGCCTTACTAGCTTGTTAGCTTCTTGCAAGTTGAAACGCGAACAGTTCATCAATGTGACAGGTTCCCAAACTGCTGTTTGCGTGCACAGTCTCCAAACTGTCCCTGTAATAAGTAGTTTCTGTTATAGCAGCCAGTAAGTTATATTATGCAACCATTTACTTCTAAATAAAAGGTGGCCTACATATCTATTTTGCCTGTTGTATAGTAACGGTAGACATCCTTTTGTTTCAGGGTTTATAGATCAACCGTAGACAATATAGAATTTAGAGTTAAATAATGAAAAATATGTTTCTTATATATTGGAATATATATATATATATATATATATATATATATATATATATATATATATATATATATATATATATATATATATATATATATATATATATATATACATGCGTGCGTGCATGCATGCATGCATGTATGTATGTATGTATGTATGTTTGTAACTATCTGTTTGTCTGTCCGTCTGTCCGTTCGTCCATCCGTCCATCCGTCCATCCATCCATCCATCCATCCATCCATCCATCCATCCATCCATCCATCCATCCATCCATCCATCCATCCATCCATCCATCCATCCATCCATCCATCCATCCATCCATCCATCCATTCATCCATCCATCCATCCATCCATCCATCCATCCATCCATCCATCCATCCATCCATCCATCCATCCATCCATCCATCCATCCATCCATCCATCCATCCATCCATCCATCCATCCATCCATCCATCCATCCATCCATCCATCCATCCATCCATCCATCCATCCATCCATCCATTCATCCATCCATCTATCTATCTATAAATATACATAAACTTATATATATATATATATATATATATATATATATATATATATATATATATATATATATATATATATATGGGTTAAATCGAATTATTTGTGTCATGTTCACGCAAATGAATCCAAACGCCGCGCATCAATAGCGCACAATTCTGCACCATTATGATGAGATCATTGTTTGTTTACTAAACGGAGGTATGAGCGTAAAAAATAATGTTCGGTAAAATTAGGATCAGCAAGATGTAGCTCCATTTACTTACACAACGGTCTATGTTTAGTTATTCGTAAGTAATGGAAATTGTTTATTTCAATGATGAATAGACGCTTAGGTGAAATAAAGTTTGGGCAAAAATGAAAGAGTGTGATAAATATTCATTTTACTATTGCCTTATGGCCTTATAGATTCTAGATCTATAACTATTTATGGCCTTATAGAGTCTAGATATAGACCTAGATCTAGATCTAAAACTATATAGATCTATGGATGCAGCAGTGAATAGTCAAAAAAGATTTACAAAATGTTTTAAATGTTTGCAGTATTATAAAGATAAACGTGGTTATAGAAATTTATTGTGAGGTTTTTTGTCAGACTTTACCAAAGATTAGATGTTTATGAAATTTGAAGTGTTTAGTATTTTCGATAATGAAACAAAATGTTAAAAATGCCTAAAACAATTTGGTTGTTTTCAATGAATCACTGTTTGTTTTCTTCTGATGTTTTTGTCTTTACAGTAAATAATTGCTGCTTAAGAATATCATGTTGCATGCTCAGAATCATTCTTTGATTTCTCTTTGCATTTCATTGTTTTTGTGAGATACGGACACCAAATGTTTTTATTGGTTTACTTCATGCGAATTTGTGATTTCATATTGTAATTATATCTTCTACCTATATTTTCCTTAATATTGTTTTTTAAATTTATTTTCAGTTGTCCGTGTAGGGATAATAGATTTAGCTGTGAGCTAGTGATACATTCAGCCCAAAAGTGGGCTATATAACGATTGAAGCTCAACCACATATTTGTGTCTTTGATAGATGCTAAGTTAGTACGATTAAATGTGCATGTCCAACTCTATAGTGGTCTCTATTCCTAGACAATTTGCTTACTAACCACATTAAAACATACACACATGTCTTCAATCAAATTTTGTCAGTGATACATGTTAAGCCATTACGTTGTTATGGCTAATCATGTATAGCTATATATAGTCACCTAGATTTCGGAAAGATATAAACACACCACTCTACCCTCTACCACCAATAAACAACGAATGTGTCAACTCTTTTCTGCAGATTTTGTTTTTGCTTTCTATCAAAAAAGTTGTGTTTAGAAATGATGACAATGAAAATACAAGAATTGGTTTTGGTAAGTCTATTCACTTTAAATTTAAAACGAGTTAAATAAATTTTAACTGTTTTTTATTACAGCAATTGATAAAAAAAAAGAATTCCAGATCATATTCAGATATAGTAAGTGTGGGAAAAATAAATATATCAGATCATATTTAGTTATAATTAGTGAGAGTAAAATAAATATTTCAGATACTATTTAGTTAGGCCTATAGTTGGAGAAAGAGAAAAAATATTTCAGATCATATTTAATATTTAGTTAAAGTTAGAGAGAGATAAAAATAAAATTTATTTAGTTTTAGTAAGCGAGATAACATTTTTATTGGACGAGAGAACATAAAATAAGAGTTTGTTACGAAAGTATAGTTTTTTCCCAGTAACATACATAATCGGCCATACTTGCTATGAGATATGTTTACCAGAAAGAACGGCTAAGCATTAATTGCTTCTGCTAATACCGGGCAATAAATCAAACATTTTTTTTTACATTGCACTGACCTGCAGTTAGGTAAACAAACCTCTACATAGAGTTGTGGAAAATATGCGTTTTAGCCTTTGTTTTGTCGAATTAATGAATCCAGATGGGTCTACGAAAAACTCAAGAAAGACACCCGAAGCCGTCTACCTAAAGGCTGTTTTCCTGAATGGACATTTGCGCGAATGCTAAAAATGCCCGAATGGACACTTGAGGAATGCAGCTAATGTCCAAAATGACCAATTGTCCGAAGGCCGTTTGTCCGGAAAAAAAGTATTACCTAGTAAGGTCTATTGGAAGGAGGGGAATGGGTGGGGGGATACAACCCTTCCTATCTTTAACACAACTTTTCTTACTTTAGTGTTAATTTCCTTTAATAATTTATATGTTAATTTCCTTTAATACTTTATATGTTAATTTCCTTTAATAGTTTCTATTTTAAATTGTGACCCGTGCAGGTTCTCTTATTACTATGTATGAAGCCTGGTCATATCAAATCTCAATCAGACGATTGTTCTTTCGGTAGAAGTATCAATCTTCCGCTAGAAGTGTACCAAGAACATTACCAATTCAATTATCCCAAATCAGATGCAGTCAAAGACTTGCCGTCCCCGCCTATATTAAACCAAGGTCAATGTGGCGTGTCTAAGAACGACCAATCACAACAGATTGTAGGTGGCAAAGACGCACCAGATAATGCCTGGCCATGGCAAGTATGGTTGATCTTTTCTCACGGGATGTGCGGAGGAGTTATTATTAACAGAGACTGGATAATGACCGCTGGACACTGTAATGGCGGTGATGTAGCTGAGGTATATGTTGGAAACAACAGCTATCTAAAAGGCAATAGAACTCGCACTAAAGCGGCGTTTGAACACGATGCGGTTGATTTGGCCCTTTTTCAACTGTCATCTCCGTTAACATTTACAGACTCAGTACAGCCTATCTGTTTGCCCGAAGGAAATATTTGGGACGCCTCGCCTTGTTTTGTCACAGGCTGGGGGGAAACCGGTCATTTTAATTACGTGCTAAACAGCCGTCTTCAACAGCTTCGTGTCAGAAATTTGGACCAAACTCTGTGCCTTGCCCACCTATCGCTTTTTGGATTATACGATAGAGATGGAATTTTTTTCTGCTTTAGTTCCACTGGACACTCTGGCATAAGCAGCGGAGACTCTGGCGGACCAGTGAGCTGCATGAAGAATGGACGTTACTACTTGCTTGGAATAATCACCCATAATCTACCCTTGGATGGAGGTTATGTTGACTATGCAGTTTCTGTCCCAAGGAATATGCAGTGGATAACTGACACAATACTTGAAAATTCTTAGGGAAGTCAAATACATTTTTTATAGTTTTATAATTTGAAACTTTATAAAAAAAAACTATTATAGTTTGGTCTTTTAAACACAACAGCTTTATAATTTTTAGAAATCCTAAGAATTTAATTTATATGTTAAAGTATTGAGTTTTGAAAAATTAAAATAATCAATATGAAAAATTTAATAGGTATCAAAAACAAACAGAAAATTGTGACTGTTAGTGGTCATTAAAGCATAATTTTTCGTTTGTTTGTTATTCTTTTGAAGTACATGCCTTCTGTTTAAATTAAGTAGAACTACATTACACCTATGTTTTAATATATCTCACGTAACTGTCTTGAGTACAAGGTATATGTGTCAGTATTATTGTCATTAGATTAGCGCACCATTTGATTTTTCATTGATCACTGTGGCGTAGGCCGGGATATTTAGGAGTAAGTTTTGTCTTGATTGGTTTGGTTAATTTGTAGCTTGTTTTATATTTCGTTTTTCGTTTTGTTGTGTTGAAATGTGTCTTTGTTTAGTTAATGTTAGGGGTATATTTTTGTCGTGAATGTATTTGTTGATTATTTTGATATGGTTCCATACATTGTTTTAATAAAGATTACGTTAAGCTGATTATCTTTTGGTTTTATTAAAATCTGGATTGAGATTAGGATTTAACTAGACTTGAACTCCCGCCCTATAGTTAATCCTAGGGGTTGATTAGATAAAGGTTATAATCTCCCCCCCCCCCCCTCCTCTGCAAGGATTTACATTCATAAATGTTTTACTATTATAATCCTGAATTCCATCAATTCGCTAAGCAAAACTACTATGATTTGAATATTTGAATCCCTGTACACAATATGCCCATTGGAGAAAATAAATTATGATATAAAGTAAACAAGTATTCGTTTAATTAATAACTGTTTGTCTTAATTTAAGCCTCCGGTGCCATTTGAAGAGAGTATAGATGTCTGATGTAGTTACATCTGACGCCACATCCGGGTGTCTCACCCTGTGTTACCACGGCTGGGGACACCACTACAGGTTACCCCCCCCCCCCCCCCCCTCCCCATTTTTTCTAGACACATTGAGACGATGAACTTACCATTATATCCTGCTGGACATTTTGACTGTGTGAAGCTGTTGTTCAATGTTACACTAAACGTCACACCGTCAATAGTCTCTGTGTGGCAGGCAGCTATTTGTGTTTTTACAGAATATACATATATATATATATATATATATATATATATATATATATATATATATATATATATATATATATATATATATATATCAATGTGAAAAACAACAAGCACAAAGTTATATATAACTAGCGATATATATGCTACATGATATAACTATATAACTATATATATATATATATATATATATATATATATATATATATCGTGATATATGTTACCAGAAAAGTATAAAAATACGTCATTCTATAGAATACCTATGCAATGTATATAATGCCTGAAATGGGTCGTCAAAGTATAAAATATATGAATATTTAATACATCCTATAGAAAACCTATAACAAGCAGGCAGAGTGTAGAATACGCTTTCTCGCTTTATCATTCTGGCTCATTTGTTAGGTTTAGGTTTGGGTTAGTTTTAGGGTTATTGTTAGCTTTAGGGTTACGATTAGCTTTCTAGTTAGGGTAAGGGTTTGGGTTAACTTTAGGATTAAGGTTAGCTTTAGGGTTAAGGTTAGCTTTAGGGTTAAGGTAAGGTTTTGGGTTAGGTTTAAGGTTTGGGTTAGGTTTAGTGTTAGCTTTAGGGTTAGGGTAAGCTTTAGGTTAAGAGTTATGGTTAGCTACAGGGTCAAGGTTAGGGTTAGGTTAAGTATTGGAGAGAAATATAAGTGCAATTTAAAATGCTACTGTTGCCTTCTCTGCTGCAATAAATAGTAAATAATAAAACTCCTGATTCCTTTGTTAGCCCAGAACAGATTTCCTGTTGTTAATTCTTTTTTTTACATGCTTTTAATTAGTTCGCCACGTCTCTTTGTTCGTAGGTTTGTGGCAAATCTTGTTGCTCAATTTTGACCCAGTTCTAACGCAACGATTTCGTTCACTTTCCAGAGACCTTCCACTTTGATGACATTACAAGTCTATCTATTTTCTTAATTTAATCAGATGCTCAATAAGTCATTAAAATTAATTGAACGGTTTCGGCACTACGGGGAGATAACAAAATTAAATCACTCGATAGATTACTATATACAACAACTGAAGGGAAGATAGACGCAATCACCCTAATAGTCTGGTGACCTGTGGTTCACACCGTCTGTTTACATTTGCGGAGACAGTCAATGCAGTGAAGACTATTAGGGGCAGACAATGAAGTTTTTAAACTATTTGAAACTAATTAATTATTGACTGTCATCTGTAAAATATCATCACTGTCGGCTGCTTTTCAATGAGAAAATAATCGTCTTTTCAATATCGCGAGCTAGTGCATTTTTTTTAAAAGTGTGTCCACTTCATAAGTTAGGAATCACGTAAGAAAGGTAGAAAATAAAACAATATAAAAAAAAAACCACATATCGACAAGCTTTTAAATGCACTGAAAATAAGGTAATAAAACTAATATGCTTTCTTTCATAAAAACTTTGGTCGCTTATGAGATCTTTTACATATTTTAGCAACAAAACATGTTATTGGAGAAAGTAAATTAGTTATTTTTACTTATTTTCAGTGAATTTAAAAGATTGTCACTAATGTTTTTTATACATTTGTTTTATTGATTGTTTGTTACTAAAGAATTTTGAAATCTGAGCCTTTCACATTTTGGCTAAGCAATTATTGCCATTTTAAACAATGCCAAGGCATTCTATATTATATTGCCTGGGAAAAGTGTATGACAATGTCGAAATATAATACTTTTCCTAAAAACACCAGTTATTGTATCCAGTGCCTAGGCATTCCATAGAATGCTTGGTTTTCATACTTGCCGGTAATATATATATATATATATATATATATATATATTATATATATATATATATATATATATATATATATATATATATATATATATATATATATATATATATATATATATATATCAAAAGAAAATAATACATCGTATTACGTTATTAAACATATTTACCGTGATTTTGTGATGCGGTCTCCTTGGTTATTAATGGACTGTCAGTAGGATTTGGTGTTGACACCGATGTATCTGTAGGAGATGGACTGGGCGATGTGACATCTGTAGGAGATGGACTGGGCGATGTGACATCTGTAGGAGATGGACTGGGCGATGTGACATCTGTAGGAGATGGACTGGGCGATGTGACATCTGTAGGAGATGGACTGGGCGATGTGACATCTGTAGGAGATGGACTGGGCGATGTGACATCTGTAGGAGATGGACTGGGCGATGTGACATCTGTAGGAGATGGACTGGGCGATGTGACATCTGTAGGAGATGGACTGGGCGATGTGACATCTGTAGGAGATGGACTGGGCGATGTGACATCTGTAGGAGATGGACTGGGCGATGTGACATCTGTAGGAGATGGACTGGGCGATGTGACATCTGTAGGAGATGGACTGGGCGATGTGACATCTGTAGGAGATGGACTGGGCGATGTGACATCTGTAGGAGATGGACTGGGCGATGTGACATCTGTAGGAGATGGACTGGGCGATGTGACATCTGTAGGAGATGGACTGGGCGATGTGACATCTGTAGGAGATGGACTGGGCGATGTGACATCTGTAGGAGATGGACTGGGCGATGTGACATCTGTAGGAGATGGACTGGGCGATGTGACATCTGTAGGAGATGGACTGGGCGATGTGACATCTGTAGGAGATGGACTGGGCGATGTGACATCTGTAGGAGATGGACTGGGCGATGTGACATCTGTAGGAGATGGACTGGGCGATGTGACATCTGTAGGAGATGGACTGGGCGATGTGACATCTGTAGGAGATGGATTGGGCGATGTGACATCTGTAGGAGATGGACTGGGCGATGTGACATCTGTAGGAGATGGACTGGGCGATGTGACATCTGTAGGAGATGGACTGGGCGATGTGACATCTGTAGGAGATGGTGTGGGCAACGTAGGATATAACTTGCAATAGGTATCAGGGAAAATGGTTATACATTTACAGTTATAATAACCGCACAACAATGTTAGATGCTTGACAGATTTTGTAAATAATTTTTTCACAGAGCTTATTTCTTTTTTAGCATCCACTAACCCAGAAGACTCATCTGCAACTATAGGTAAAGGCCGTACAGTGTTAAATGTAGTTTTTGCAGGCGAAGTATTGTTGCTTTTTGCCACACGCTTAAAAGGAGTGTTCGCTGTTTTTTCCATTGAAGATTCTGTCTGAATTTTTAGCATCTTATACCAAGTTGGAGAAGGCGTGACAGAAACTGGTTCTTGTGTCAATTTTTCTGCTTTGTATGATAAAAACTGCAGGGCTGATATTTCTGGAAATATGTTGTTGTTTTTTTGTTACGTGAAGTTTATGGAGATAAATTTAAAGTAGTCAGATTCATTTTCGAAATTTAAAAAAATATATAATTGATATTATTTGTAATGCGTAATTTATTTTTGTATTCACATGTCTACATATAAATTAATGAACTTACCTCCAAATACAGCCATCAAGCAAAAAAACAACAGCAGTATCCTGTTTGGTTGAATTACAGCCATTCCGGTAGCTGTCTCAAGGAGCCTCACAATGATGCTAGATAAAACAAAATTTGGCTTAATACTAAAGGACAATTATGTAAACGGTTGTATATTACACCGGTTTACCAGTGACATGGCTGTCATAGATAGTGTCATTCATCAATGTCTTTCGGACAGTCAAACAAGCCAAATTGCCTTTTGTCATATCATCATACAACGTTATCAAACTCAGAGTATTTTATACATCTAAGTTTTAGAGATCTGTGAGAGACACACTATAAGATATCTGTGTGAGCCAAATTGCCAGACATCTGATTGATTCACTGTGTCAGACATCTGTGTGAGTCACAGTGTCACACGGAGTCAGACATCTGTGTGAGTCACAGTGTCACACGGAGTCAGACATCTGTGTGAGTCACAGTGTCAGACATCTGTGTGAGTAAGAGTGTCACACGGAGTCAGACATCTGTGTGAGTCACAGTGTCAGACATCTGTGTGAGTCACAGTGTCAGACATCTGTGTGAGTCACAGTGTCAGACATCTGTGTGAGTCACAGTGTCAGACATCTGTGTGAGTCACAGTGTCAGACATCTGTGTGAGTCACAGTGACAGACATCTGTGTGAGTCATTGTGTCAGACATCTGTGTGAGTCATTGTGTCAGACATCTGTGTGAGTCATTGTGTCAGACATCTGTGTGAGTCATTGTGTCAGACATCTGTGTGAGTCATTGTGTCACACAGTGTCAGACATCTGTGTGAGTCATTGTGTCACACAGTGTCAGACATCTGTGTGAGTCACAGTGTCAGACATCTGTGTGAGTCACAGTGTCAGACATCTGTGTGAGTCACAGTGTCAGACATCTGTGTGAGTCACAGTGTCAGACATCTGTGTGAGTCATTGTGTCAGACATCTGTGTGAGTCACAGTGTCAGACATCTGTGTGAGTCACAGTGTCAGAC